AAGAAAAATCTGCTGAATGTGACAGTCATGAGGACAATATAGTCCAAGTGTCACTGGGACCAAGAGCTGCTGGTGAACCTTTGCTCCTGTAGAGTTCCATGTGTTTGTGAGCTGTGGTGTGTGACTGGGAAGAGCAAGTGCTCTTGACCATGGAATAGTCTTTCCATCTCCTTTTTTCTTTTCTTTTCTTTCTTTTTTTTTTTTTTTTGAGACTGGGTTTCATCTATCCTAGGCTGGTCTTGAACTCCTGATCCTCCCACCTCCATCTTCTGAGCATTAGGATTACAGGTATGTATGACCAAACCAAGCTTTATGAAGATTTTTTTTTAATGTACATACATGGACCTTTAAATACTATATATAATATTTAAAGCAACATAAATGCAGGTTGTTTTTTTTTTATCAAAGAGTTTTCATCCACCTAACATGACTGTGAATTTATTATAGTTTTCAATAAACTAATGGTTAATTTAAAAATCTGTGTTTATCTGTGTGTACACATTCATGTGTGTGAGTCCTGGTGTGTGTGTGTGTATATCACACGCCCATGTGGAAGTCAAAAGAAAGCTTGAGCGTGTCAGTCTTTACCTTATACCTTGCTTAAGATAGGATGTTTTGTAGCTTTCGGCTAGCTGGCCTGCAAGCTTTGGGGGAGTCTCCTGTCTCTATCTCTGGTCTCCTTTAGAGGCCCTGGGTACAGCACATCACGGTCCCCCATCCAGCCACTGAGCTACCCCTTCACACCACTAAGAAGCTAATGGTTTCTTAATGTTCCTACCATCAATGTCCTCCCCAACCTGGGCTCAACTTATGTAGATGTCTGCAACAAAGAATGTCCAAGAAATAAAAGTAGAAGTGTCTTGTTTTCTTGTTTAAAGTGATGACCAGACTTAATCTTCCCAGAAGGGGGAATCAAGAGAGGAATGACATAAAAAAACATGCTTCTTCTCTTCCTGACTATCCGGGTTCCTGCCCCACCCAAAGCCAGGAGGCCAGGCTGAGGATGGATCCAGTGATGTTCAGTGTCTGTACCATTTGGAGTTACAGAGTAGAATGTGAAAATCTCCAGGCTATGTGAGATAGTGGGAACCAAAAGATGAGCTCCTTTGCCCTGTCCAGCTCAGGGGTCCCAAATTCCAATGTATCACCTGCTCCTTTGCACCCGCCTGTAAATGCCCATGGAATCTCTGCTTACAACCCGAGATTCATTTGTATTCCTTACTATTTTCTGTAGTTCTAACAGCAGCTCACTTCCTTATGTAGAAAAACAAAACAACTCCCACAAAACTGTCCATAACAGAATCCACATCTTCTCACAATCAAGTCCTGTCAGCCAGACTTGGTACAATAAACCCGATCAATGGAGAAAGGAGAGCCCAGACCAGCTGCCTTATGTTATGTACTGTCAGGGATAACTCCAGAATGCAGGTCAGTCAGGCTGGCCTGGAGATTCATTTCTCCTCATTTCTTTCTCTGGAGCTCCTGCAAACAAAATCGTGAGCGTTCTTGTGTACATGTGTTGCTGGTATTCTTATGGGCTTTGGAATCTAGATATCTGTAATTGTGGAGTATGCTTCATGTTTTTATGTTTTGTTTTGTTTTTTTTTCTGAAAAGACACCAGAGGAGAAAGGAAAGGATAATTCTAACATTCTGTCTTTCCACGGACCCATCTGGTCAACTCTCTAATTTTAAACCTCATTTTAATAACAAGACTTTGAATAGCTGTGCTTTTGTGATTTAAATGGACTTTCAAACTGGGATATAAGCATCTGAGATAACAAACTTCAGTCTGCATAGGGAGAGGAAAAAATACACTGAAAGTTGTAATGAAGAGTTTTTCATTTTCCTCCAACTCTCTTAAAAGCAATAGCTGCCGAGCTTGACATCTCCGGAGTCCAAATTCAAACCTGGAGTTTTGAAAAGAGCCCATAACTATATGGAAGAGTGAGTTAATTGAAATGGTTTGAAATGGTTTGGATTAAAACCAAGTGTGTGCGTTTTTGTTTTTTTTTTTTTTTAAAGATTTACTTATTTATTATTTAAATAATATTCTGCCTGCATGTGTGCCTGCACCAGGTCTCATTATAGATGGTTATGAGCCACCAGGTGGTCGCTGGGGATTGAACCCAGGATCTTTAAAAGAATTAGCCAGTGCTCTTAACCTCTGAGCCACTGCTCCAGCCCCAAAACCAAGTTCTACAGAGTAAAAGGATTAACACTCTAGTGTGCATTAAATGCAAAAAACACATCCTTGGGTTAAAAAACCAAGATCATCCATTTCCCTGCACATGGGTGACTGAGGCAACCCTGAGCAGCCCAGGTTCTAGAACAAGGCCGAGGGCTGCTAAAGGTCCAGGGAGCACAGTGGCTGTGAAGTGGGTGAGGCAGTGAAGCCTAGGAGGTATTCAAAGGCAAAATTTGATCCAAAACAGAGTACAAGAGTACAATCAAGAACGGTATCACAGAAGATCAACCACAAACCAAAAAACGGCAGCTGTGTTGAAAGGCCCAAAACTTTGAGTTCATTCTTCATTTGCTTTGTCTCTCACCACCCAATGCCAAGGTCTGTAGTGCCTATGTGTATACCATATGAGGAAAGATTCCAAGACGACAACAAACAAACAAAATAAAACATAAGCACATCCTTCCGTCAAGCTCTTTCCAGAAACACATACTGGAAAAGCAGAGAGGCCAGCAAGCCTCATGGAGAATCCCTCTCTGATGGCACTGTCCTCCTGTGTCCTTCGGGCTGTGTCCGGAACTGCAGCCCCTTTCACAGAGCTGTCTTCATTAACTGGCATTCTTAGTCCTTTAGAGTTGGTTCACAGCACAGCAGACACAGCGGGACAGTGTCTGGTATCCCCATCGACAGAAGCCCAAGAGCTTTAGAACTTGTAGTAATGCAGATAGTCCTCCTCCTTCACTTGCGCTTCCTGAACCAAGTCTCCTCTGTTTCACTCAGATCACTCACCATCCAGGACTCTTTGCCAGTTTGGAGCCTGTTAGACCTGCTGGGTGGCCTTTGCATTTGCTGTTCAGGCTGTCTCCAGAACACTTCTTCTCCCTTCATCCTGGGGTCGTCCTCACTTCCTCAAGTCCCACCCTTCAATTTCCCTTTATCTCAGATGCCTTTCCAGATCTGTGTAAATTCATGGCACCTACACTCCCCATGCTCCTCGCTAGGGTTTCTCTCTGCAGGCCTAGCCTCTTTTGGCATACATTAATTTCTCCTAGTCTTACTCCTTCCCTTCCTCTCCCCCGCTGTGTGAAGGTAGGGGTGTTGAAGATGTCCCACTTATGCTAGTACTGAGCCTCCGTTCCCAGAACAGCGCCCAACGCACAGTAGGTCACTTATGAAGGAAGGAAGAAGAAATTACCTAGCCTGGGTGGTTAAGTTGATCATGATGTCACTGACCACAGAGAAGTTATTTTGGGGAGATAGTGGGGATCTTTGTGAATGTCGGGTCTACACTGATGGGAATATGTCTTGCTGTGTATTATAAATAGACTCCTATGGGAACTTATTTTCTTTCTTTTTTCTTTCGGGCGTTTCTTAGCCATTTTTGTTTCTTCTTTTGAGAACTCTGTTTAGTACGGCAGCTCCATTTGTAATTTTGGCTGACTGTTTTCCTGTTTAGATTCTTTGGTGGTTTTACATTTTTAAACACTCAGTATTAAGTGCACAATGAAAATTGACTTTTAAATTACAAAGGAAATAAATGACACATTATATAATCATGTTTAACTTTGAGTTTCCCCCTATCAAGAATAAAAAGTGACATCCAGAAAAAGAGATGTTAACTGAACCACCCTAAGACAGATGGTGAAAGCAGTCATTAATAGGTACCTATTACGTTTCTCTCATCCAGGATTCCAAGTTCAGAACTTTCTTTTTGTTGTTGTTGTTTTGTTCTTCCAAGACAGGTTTCTCTGTGTAGCCTTGGCTGTCCTGGACTCTATTTCTAGATATTTGTAGACTAGGCTGGCCTCGAACTCAGAGATCTGCCTAGCCTCTATCTCCTGATTGCTGGGATTACAGGCTTGTGCCACCACAGCCGGCTCAGAATTTACTTTCTAAAGAGGGTTACCCAGCGTTCAGTCACTCATCTCTAATCAGGCATCACTGTCATTTACTGCACGTTTTAATTTCACGTTCCATTCTTGTAAGGTTCCAAACTGGCAAGAAGGCCCCCGGAGACTCCAAGAACAACACAATTTCTCTCAAGAGGTGTATTTTTTTTTTCAGATGGCTGGTTAGTCTGAAATCCAACTCTTAAGCAGTCTTCTTCATTCTGGAAGTCTCTGCAGGGGCAAGCGCGTCGCCCTGCAGAGGGCGCCACGCGCATCCCCGAGAGCTTTAACACACGGCCGCCTTTCGGAGTCTTCGGTCCCAGGCTGGAAAATGACAAGGGGATCGACAAGGGTCCTCCCTACAGAAGGGGGCCTTTTGGGCAGTGCGCCACTTGGAGAGTACTTCTCCCCTCTGTGTGAAAGTCTGAGATGCTGCAACTGGGGAGACATGAGTCCCTAAGTTTGGGTTTTCCAGATCAGAGCTCTGTCAACAGTTTCCTAAGGGAGGGTCCCTCCCCCGGCACACACACACACTCCCACCCCCAACGGCTACTTCTGAAGAGCCCGTGTCCCTTGCACCAGTTCCCTGCGGACCTTGAAGCGCGGCTTCCGGCTCTCCGGGTTCCTGCAGACGCTCCCGGAGGCGAAGGCGGTAGCTCACCGCTCATTCATTCGACAAATATTTACTGAGCGTCCGGAGCGTCCGGTGACTCTCACCAGCTCCTCCTCCTCCTCCGCGCGGCCCCGGCGGCAGCCGCAGCAGCAGCCGCAGCCCGGGAGTGCAGAGCCGACGCCGGGAGGACCGGGCGCGCAGCTCCGGGCGAGGCGGAGCCGGCGGGGGAGGCGGGCGAGCGGGGCGCGGAGGGCGCGGCCAGCGGGAGGAGCCGGGGCGGCGCCGGGGAGGGCGCGCGGGGCTGCGCGGCCGGCGGCCCCAGCAGGTGACCGCGGGGCGTGCGGGGGGCTCCGGGCAGCGAGCGAGCGAGCGAGGCGGGACGGCGCGGCGGGCGCGCCAAAGTCGGCCCAAGTTTGGCCGGAACATGGCGGAAGGGTCCGGCCGGCGCAGCGGCGCTCGGAGCACCAGTGGCTGAAGCCACCAGCGCCGCGGGGCGAGGTCGTCGTCGCCATGGCCCGTTGGATCCCGACCAAGAGGCAGAAGTACGGCGTTGGTGAGTGCTTGCCCCGCCCCGCCCTGACCCCGAGCGCCGCCGAGTCCGCGGGCTTTGGCCCCGCTGAGCTGGCGCGCCCGCTCGGTGCCCGGGGAGTCCTGCCCGCCTTGGTGGCTAACTTGCCATTCGGGCTCGGGGACTCTGATCCCCACTCTGAACTCCAGCTCGAGCGCCGCACTCTGGGTCCCCTCTGCCCTAGGCGGCCAGCGAGGGCCGCACGTGGGATGGTGCGCTACGCGCCCGTCCTTTCCCGGATCCCACTCTGAAGCCCCGGAGCCCCTCTCCTTCCCTCCCTGTAGTCTCGACCGCAGTCACAACCCACCGAATGGGGAGCCGAAGTTGCCAGGGGAGGTGATGGGAGAGGCAGGAAGTGTGTGGCGTGGGAAGGAGGGCAAGGGGGTCTTCCGACAGCCATCCGACCTGCTGGAGTGGATGGAGAGGTGTGACCCAGGTTCCCTCGGGGGCAGGAAGGGGATTGGTCCCGCGCTAGCGCGTGGCACTCGTGGTCGCGGTAACCTAGAGTTCCTGGATGGCTGAACTCTGGCCTCTAGGTTTGGATCTGAAACCGTGGCTGTGCCGGGTTGGATCCAGGTGGAAAAACTTTCCACTTTCACTTTTGATTGAACCGGGTCAGGTAGGGGAAACACTTAACCTTTAGCCGGACGTTCGGGCGTTTGCCGTCACAACTGGACTTTAGGTGGAGTCTCTGGGTTAAACAAGTGTGTTGGGTGAGAATGTTACCACTTTCTCTCAGGTTCACTCCCTAGGGACGTTTGAAATGTAATCCTTTGCTTTACCACTCCCTCCTGCACACCTCTTTTCCTTCACCTCCGGGGCCTGCTGGAGCGCTGCCTGAAGTAGTCTGTTGTGACATCTATAAACTCCTTTCAGACGCGAAGTCCTATGTGCTTCTGTAACCGTGACTCAGGCTTCCCCTTCCATCACTAGTGTGTTATTAGTCTGTTGCAGGTTGAAAGCTTGCCTGCGTGTATTTGTAAATAAGAATGTATGTATCTATTCCCAAAACTTTATCCCCCCCCCCCTTGGCTTTACTTTTAGAATTTTTGCTCCTCCACACGCCTGCAGGTCGCATGGATAGGTGAGATTTCTTCAGCCCCAGATCACCAGGTCTTGGCTTAGCCCCCCAGACTTCTTATGGGACTATTGGCCAGCTACCTGCTAATAAGCAGCTGGTCGTTGTGCGAGTGACATACTGGAAAACTGACTGGGCGTGTCAATCATATAGCGTGTCCAAAGCCCCGGGCTCCATTTTCTGTACCGAAGGAGGAAATTAATTTTATTGAGCAAGGTAGAGTACTAATTAATGAATTAAAGTATGTTTAGCAGTAACCGATCGCCGATTACCCCTGGGTGAAAAGCTGTTGCTAACAAGTATGATGTTTCTGATGGTGTGCTGTATACAGTGACAGGCATGGGAGTGAGAGGATGTTTGGTTATTTGTCAGACGGCATTGGAGGTCTTTGGGTACTGTTTCTAGGGCGCATGTCTTTGCGACGTCGTTCCAGGGTGGAATCTGGGACACTGTTGACCTGGAAGTTGAGGCACAGAATATGGACCGAGGGCAGGGCACGTGATTCTCATCTCGTTCTGTGCTGTCTGGAAGTCTTCCCTGGCTGCCGGAGAGCCCGAAGGGGCTAGTTTTCAGAGCTCCCACAATGGAGTCCTCTCCCCTCCCCGCTCTCCTCTGTGGTTCAGCGTTCATTCCCTGGAGAGTCACTCCTGTGAGACTTTACTCTCTTGTGCTTGTGTCGTCTCCCCCCACTCCCCCTTACAGGACCTTCCCCAGCGCCGCATCCCACTCTAGTCTTTTCCCTTGGAGTTCAGATCTTCCTACCGCTTCCTTCCTTTACCTGTGCGGGTCCTCGCTGCAGTCTTAGCCTCCTCTCCCTCCCCAGCTGTTGTAGCTTGCCTCTTCAGTACAGCAGCTGGGACTGCTCGCCTGCAGCTAGATCAGGTTTTTTTTGACTGTTGATGTAGGAGGGGTTGGGAGAGTCATTGGTTTCTCTTCTGAGAGCTCAGCCCCTCCCACTGATAACCTCTGGCTAGTTGTTGTTGTTTTTTTTTTTTTTTTTTTTAAACAGGGCTTCTCTGTGTAGCCCTGGGTGCCCTGTACTCGCTTTGTAGACCTCAGGCTGTCCTCAAACTGTTCTGTTCCAACCTGCCTCCTGAGTGCTGGGATTAAAGGCATGCACCACCGTGCCCGGCATCGCCAGTTGTATTAATTCTGCCCTTAATTGCACATACATGAAGGGTAACAGGAAGGGGGAGAGTCTGTCATCCAGGCTGGGAAGTGACCTTCTGCTTTGGGGTCACCTACTATTTTTTGTGCTCTGTAAGTAAGCCCAGTAAACTCATTGGCTCCCCCAAGTTTGACTTTTGATGGAATCATATTTTGGTTTGTCGTTAGTGCCCTCTAAAGAGGGCATAGATGTTTGATTATGTCTCCCCAGGGGAAGAATTCTGGCAAAGGAAGGTTATGGTTTTTTATTTCTGCCAATCACGTTTTGCCAGGTAAACAGTCGTCCTCCTTCCAGTCTTCAATTCTCTGCAATTCCACTTATCAATAGTCAGCTGAGGCCCAAGTGTGACATGGGATATGAGAGAGAGAAAAAAGAACACCTTCATACAACTTATATTTTGGTGTTTTACTGTAATCTATTTTATTGCTAGTTATTTTTCCTTTCTTTCTGTCCCTAATTTATAAATTAAGCTATTATAGGCATATATCTAGAGTATGTACAGGGTTTCAAGATCCACCGGGGTCTTAGAACATGTCTGCTTTGGGGAGGGGTCTCCTCTGTAAGTGTGTTCAGCAGTGAGCACCCTTGATGCTGGGGTGCCCTTGTGAAGCAGGCTAACTTACCTTGTCAGCTTTAATGCAGTTTCCTCCCCGTTAAGCTCTGACATCTCATTTGTCCCAATATGGGCTCTACTGGAAGAAGTCCCCACTGTTTTGCCGAGGAAGTAAGGACATTCCTTAGGCCGACTGTTTGACTGTCACGGGGTGCGCACTGCCTTGGGATGTTGTCCCTTCTGACGGCAGGCGATGAAGGAAGCTCTCTAGCCAGCGGGAGGTTTGTGGTGACCCACAGCTGCACAGCTGCACAGTGACACCTGCAAGCTGTCACTCCCTGCAGGTTTGCCGTGAGGGTGCAACGGTGATCTGCGCTTGGGTTGTCCTTGGGGAAGGTAATGGGGCGCCGTGCTCACCATCTCCTCCTCTGTTTGGTTCCTCTTGGTTGTTTTTCAACAGGGACTGAAAATGTCTGGGAGTCCTTCGTTCTCCAGCAGTATTACTAGTTCAGCCTCCGGTATTAAGTGACCCTAAATGGTCATTGTGTACATCTGTGTTATCCAGAAAGGGGACTGACAGACACTTCTTTAAGTAGGTACTTTAGTGCTCAACATTAGTACTCCAGAATGACGTGCTTAGATCTGAGCAATCTTAGATTCCTAATATAAGTGTTTTTCTCTGAAGCTAGGCAGCTTTTTTTTCCCCTTCACTTTTCTTTTTCTATTCTACTTATTTGCAGTACTGCTGACTGAACTTGTGGCCTTCTGAGTTCTAGGCAAGTGTTCTGCTGCTGACCTGTTTTTCCAGACTTCTTTAATTTTCATTATTGACTTTTGCAAGATTATCCAGGCTGTCTTACTAGCCCAGGCGGGCCTTGAACTTGGAATCTTCTTGCCTCAGCCTCCTGCGTAACTGAACTTACAGATCTATAGAACCAGGCTTTGTGCTTTTTTGCTTTTTAAGTATATGGAGGGATAAAATACTGATGTTTGAGTTTTGAGCACACATCCATGATAAATATGCTTGTCACTTTAAATTTTAAATCAGTCATTCTCAATTGAGTCAGGCTCTCCTTAATGTACCCAAGCAGGCCTTGAACTCTCCATCATCTTGCCTCACCCCCTGGAGTGTTCGAATTAACTAACATGCATCCTGACACTCAGCTTAAGCACATTTTTAAATCAGCTTCCACACAAGATGTTTATGTCAAGAACAAAGATTATATTCTTTGTGGCCTGTTTGCAAAACGGTTCACTGGTGCATGTTGGGATTTCCGGTATCTGTAGCTATAGTGTGATAGGAAACCTTTGCAGGGAAACACTGGCTTTTACAGGTAGCCCTCCAGCAACTTAGTTGTGCTTGCCTTAGCCAGCCTCAAGCATTGGGCCTTGTACAGCAGATCTTCAAGTGCTGATTTAAGACCTACACCAGACTCTTGAGTCTTTCTGGTGCTTTCAGCCTGTGCCCTGCCCATGACATCCTGCTTCACCGTGGGCACAGTGTTCCTCAGTCTGGGTGTGACTTCAGGGAGGGGATTTCACAGTGACTGGCCCGGTTTGAAAAGGTGTATTTTTTTTTGTTACTTTAATTGTGTTTATAGGTGTGGGGGTATATGCATGAGCACAGGTGCTCACTCAAGTCAGAGGTGTTGGATCTCCCTGGAGCTGGAGTTATAGGTGGTTGTGAGCTGCCTAATATGGGTACTGGGAACTGAGCTCTGGTCCTCTGCAAGAACTGTGTGTCCATTCTCACTCAGAGGCAAATGGGATGGACATTAAAGAGGGAGAAAACAGGGAACAGGACAGGAGCCTGTCACAGAGGGCCTCTGAAAGACTGTACCCAGTAGGGTATCAAAGCAGATGCTGAGACTTATAGCCAAACTTTGGGCAGAGTACAGGGAATCTTATGAAAGAAGGGGGAGATAGAAAGACCTGGAGAGGACAGGAGCTCCAGAAGGAGAGCAACAGAACCAAGAAATCTGGGCCCAGGGGTCTTTTCTGAGACTGATACTCCAAACAAGGACCACGCATGGTGATAACCTAGAACCCTTGCATGGATGTAGCCCATGGCAGCTCAGTTTCCAAGTGGGTATCCTAGTAAAGGGAATAGGGACTGTCTCTGACATAAACTCAGTGGCTGGCTCTTTGATCACCACCTCCTGGGTGAGGAGCAGCCTGACCAGGCC